ACCACTAACAAAGGTACCAGGACAGTACCTTGAGAAACACCTATAGTCTGTCACCACCAACAAAGGTACCAGGACAGTACCTTGAGAAACACCTATAGTCTGTCACCACCAACAAAGGTACCAGGACAGTACCTTGAGAAACACCTACAATCTGTCACCACCAACAAAGGTACCAGGACAGTACCTTGAGAAACACCTTCAGTCTGTCACCATCAACAAAGGTACCAGGACAGTACCTTGAGAAACACCTACAGTCTGTCACCACCAACAAAGGTACCAGGACAGTACCTTGAGGAACACCTACAGTCTGTCACCACTAACAAAGGTACCAGGACAGTACCTTGAGAAACACCTATAGTCTGTCACCACCAACTAAGGTACCTGGACAGTACCTTGAGAAACACCTACAATCTGTCACCACCAACAAAGGTACCAGGACAGTACCTTGAGAAACACCTACAGTCTGTCACCACCAACAAAGGTACCAGGACAGTACCTTAAGAAACACCTACAGTCTGTCACCACCAACAAAGGTACCAGGACAGTACCTTGAGAAACACCTACAGTCTGTCACCACCAACAAAGGTACCAGACAGTACCTTGAGAAACACTACAGTCTGTCACCACCAACAAAGGTACCAGGACAGTACCTTAAGAAAACATCCTACAGTCTGTCACCACCAACAAAGGTACCAGGACAGTACCTTGAGAAACACCTACAGTCTGTCACCACCAACAAAGGTACCAGGACAGTACCTTGAGAAACACCTACAGTCTGTCACCACCAACAAAGGTACCAGGACAGTACCTTGAGAAACACCTACAGTCTGTCACCACCAACAAAGGTACCAGGACAGTACCTTGAGAAACACCTACAGTCTGTCACCACCAACAAAGGTACCAGGACAGTACCTTGAAAACACCTCAGTCTGTCACCACTAACAAAGGTACCAGGACAGTACCTTAAGAAACACCTACAGTCTGTCACCACCAACAAAGGTACCAGAACAGTACTTTGAAACACGCCCACACCTCTGCCTCTGACTATTGCGAGCTAAGAATAATATAGAAATTAATGATGATAGCAGAAGTGCTGATAATGGCGACAATGATGATGATGATAATAATGTAACGTTGCTCCAACCCCATCATTCACTTAGAAATGGAATGGTGCATATATAACACAATTTTTGTATTGACTCATTCTGCCTGTCCCATTTGTTTTTTAAATGTTCTTTAAGTGATAATCTGGAATTTTTCGATTATTATAATATTAAAAAGTGGGTTTTTAGAGATAAGGCAAATTTTAGTGGTCGAAACTGAATGATTGTATTATCAGAACATATCTGATTTGTTACTTTGAGCTGAAAACAGAGCAAAAAAGCTTTTAAGAAAGTCGAGAATGATCAGTGGAAGGAAGAAAGGCTCCAGCAGCCATGGCTAGAGGGGAAACTAAGGCTGAAGTTCTCTTATACTGCTAAGGTAAGCCTTCCCAAGTGGACATTGTTAAGGTAAGCCTTCCCAAGTGGACATTGTTAAGGTAAGCCTTCCCAAGTGGACATTGTTAAGGTAAGCCTTCCCAAGTGGACACTGCTAAGGCAAACCTTCCCAAGTGGACATTGTTAAGGTAAACCTTCCCAAGTGGACACTGCTAAGGCAAACCTTCCCAAGTGGACATTGTTAAGGTAAACCTTCCCAAGTGGACATTGTTAAGGTAAACCTTCCCAAGTGGACACACTGCTAAGGTAAACCTTCCCAAGTGGACATTGTTAAGGCAAACCTTCCCAAGTGGACATTGTTAAGGCAAACCTTCCCAAGTGGACACTGCTAAGGCAAACCTTCCCAAGTGGACATTGTTAAGGCAAACCTTCCCAAGTGGACACTGCTAAGGCAAACCTTCCCAAGTGGACATTGTTAAGGCAAACCTTCCCAAGTGGACACTGCTAAGGCAAACCTTCCCAAGTGGACATTGTTAAGGTAAGCCTTCCCAAGTGGACATTGTTAAGGTAAGCCTTCCCAAGTGGACACTACTAAGGCAAACCTTCCCAAGTGGACATTGTAAGGTAACTTCCAGTGGACATGTTAAGTAACCTTCCCAAGTGGACACTGCTAAGGTAAACCTTCCCAAGTGGACACTACAAGGCAACCTTCCATGGAACTGCTAAAGGCAAACCTTCCCAAGTGGACACTGCTAAGGCAAACCTTCCCAAGTGACATGCTAAGGCAAACCTTCCCAAGTGGACACTGTTAAGGCAAACCTTCCCAAGTGGACACTGCTAAGGTAAACCTTCCCAAGTGGACACTACTAAGGCAAACCTTCCCAAGTGGACACTGCTAAGGTAAACCTCCCAAGTGCACACTAAGCAAACCTTCCCAAGTGGACATCTTAAGGCAAACCTTCCCAAGTGGACACTGCTAAGGCAAACCTTCCCAAGTGGACACTGCTAAGGCAAACCTTCCCAAGTGGACACTGCTAAGGCAAACCTTCCCAAGTGGACACTGCTAAGGTAAACCTTCCCAAGTGGACACTGCTAAGGCAAACCTTCCCCAAATGGACACTACTAAGGCAAACCTTCCCAAGTGGACACTGCTAAGGTAAACCTTCCCAAGTGGACACTACTAAGGCAAACCTTCCCAAGTGGACACTGCTAAGGTAAACCTTCCCAAGTGGACACTGCTAAGGCAAACCTTCCCAAGTGGACACTGCTAAGGCAAACCTTCCCAAGTGGACACTACTAAGGCAAACCTTCCCAAGTGGACACTGCTAAGGTAAACCTTCCCAAGTGGACACTACTAAGGCAAACCTTCCCAAGTGGACACTGCTAAGGCAAACCTTCCCAAGTGGACACTGCTAAGGCAAACCTTCCCAAGTGGACACTACTAAGGCAAACCTTCCCAAGTGGACACTACTAAGGTAAACCTTCCCAAGTGGACACTGCTAAGGCAAACCTTCCCAAGTGGACACTACTAAGGCAAACCTTCCCAAGTGGACACTACTAAGCAACCTTCCCAAATTGGACACTACTAGGCAAACTTCCAAGTGGACCACTGCTAAGGCAACCCTTCCAAGTGGACACTGCTAATGCAAACCTTCCCAATGGACACTGCTAAGGCAAACCTTCCCAAGTGGACACTACTAAGGCAAACTTCCCAAGTGGACACTGCTAAGGCAAACCTTCCCAAGTGGACACTGCTAAGCACAACCTTCCCAAGTGGAAACGCTAAGGCAACCTTCCCATTGGACACTACTTAAGTAATACTTTCCCAAGTGACACTGCTAAGGCAACCTTCCCAAGTGGGCACTTGCTAAGGTAAACCTTCCCAAGTGGACACTACTAAGGCAACTTCCCAAGTGGACACGCAGAGGTAAACCTTCCCAGTGGACACTACTAACAAACCTCCCCAATGGACACTGCTAAGGCAAACCTTTCCCAATGGCACTGCTAAGGCAAACCTTCCCAAGTGGACACTGCTAAGGCAAACCTTCCCAAGTGGACACTGCTAAGGCAAACCTTCCCAAGTGGACACTACTAAGGCAAACCTTCCCAAGTGGACACTGCTAAGGTAAAAACCCTTCCAAGTGGACACTGCTAAGGTAAACCTTCCCAAGTGGACACTGCTAAGGTAAACCTTCCCAAGTGGACACTACTAAGGCAAACCTTCCCAAGTGGACTATCTGTAAGTTCACTTAGTTGTCTATAAACTTCAGTCCCGGACCTGCATCAGTGTAACAGGTCGTGGTTATAACCTTCCGTATAGCGATACATAAGTTGCTGTGCCGCGTCTAAGTGGTATTTAGCCACTTAAGTGTACAGTTTCTGTACTATATTAATTAGCGTAGGAAATAATCGTGTTTCCTTACATAGTTATATATTATTTTCCCAATATAATTTCCCTGATATTTTAAATACTGATTAAGTGGAGTTTAAGTGATGTGAAGTGGGATAGCAGGAGGTGAAGGAGTTTCTAGTCCATCCCGCTCCATCCCACTCTATCCCTTTCCATCCCTCCCATCTCACTCCATCTCACTCCATCCCACTCCATCCCCATATGATGGTGATGGTGTTGTGATAGTGATGAGCTTATTATTGATAATGATGACAGTGACGATAATGATGATGATGATAATCATTGTCGACTTACTAATGATGGAAATAATGATGAACATAATGAGAATAATAATGATACAAATTATGATGATGGCGTGTATGATGATGATGCAGTGTTGTGTGTGTGTGTGTGTGGTGTGTGTGTGTGTGTGTGTGTGTGTGTGTGTGTGTGTGTGTGTGTGTGTGTGGTGTGTGTGTGTGTGTGTGTGCGATTTACTTAAAAGATAGATTTTGTGAGTAAACTTCTAAATCACATTTTAATAAAATAATCGAAAAGTTATGTTTAAGTGAAACAATAAGATTAGAGGTAACAAGACAAATGTTTAAATAATGGAAATAAAAAAAATAACATCTACCCGGGATTACTTTGCTTAACTAGAAGGCGTGTTTACATTGCAACAGCTGACTGCAGACTTTGTTTACAAAAATCAGCTGACTGCAGGGTTTGTTTACAAATCTCAGCTGACTAGAGGCCATGTACACAGTGCAGGACCAACCTGCTGCGTCTGGCTCCGAGTTACTAGTCCAGCCTCCAGGGCAGTCGTGGATTTTCCCCTCTTTAGAATTAATTAAGAAGACTTACAAAATACCCAGGACCCAAGGCCATCATCGTCCAAGATACAGAAGGAAAACTGGCGTTAAATCATTGAATATATGAGAAGGGCATGGAGAAAAAGAGAGCACGACGTTAAACTATATTCTATACGAGAGAGAGAGAGAGAGGACTCAGAAGGAGGACTATTACTTAAAGACCCAAATATAAGACAATAGCCTGAAGACTCTGCCCAAGACTGTCCTGTGGAACATGACGAACCAACTCATCAAAAAAGCTAGGAATGTTTTCTTTATCTTCCATAGAAACCCCAACTTATGCATATTAAGACACCAAAACAGATTTTCTTTAATAAATACATTTGATGATGAGGGCAAAACATGAAACAAAATACTTAATCAATACCTTAAAATTACCCAAAATCTTGTTCTTCCCAAGGTCACATCAGGATTGTGGAACCTTCGCTAATTCTGAGTTGTAAACAGAGACTGGAGGAGAGTCAATAGCTTCTTCGCGGAAGAATCTATCAAAAATATTATATAGCTTATACAGTATATGTTTTAGGAAAAATAGTTAAATATAAATCGCCACAATTCTATATCTAGTGAGAGATATAACGTGTGCGTATAGTCGACAGAACTTTATAGCACGTACCTTGTGGTTGGTATGTTAGCGGTTCCCTCAACCTTGTTTAGTTACTTTTAGCGAACCTTTTGGTATATTCTCCCCCTTTTGTTTTCCATTTAATATAGTTATCCAACACAGCTATGATTCTAAAAATATATCTGGGAGTATAACAAATACTGGGAGGCGAGAGTGAGGCTGAATTTTGGGGAATTTGGGGACCGCCCGAGGGTGAGGAACCATCATGCAGAATATACACACTATGTTGTTGAGTCTTCAGTGCCCAGGGTCGGTGATGCTGCTGATGCTGCCGTCTCTCCTCTTCTATCTTGCTGAGTCAATCCTTCTAGAACGCACTGATTGACCTAAATTCTGAAGTCCTTCTCACTAATACCCAAGTAACCACTGGCGTGAAAAGTCAGGTTCCTTGTGCAACCAGGCACTATTGTTCAGTGTGTTGACCCTACTTTTTTTTTTTAAGGGTGGAGTGAGTGCCTGGCACCCGATCACTGCCTCGGTGCCACTGCCCGGCCAAGGAGCTGCATGATTCCGTTAATTATAAGACACGAAAAAGTTTAAATTCTTGATCAGGTCGTGGCAAGAAGAACTTGGATGTTATCGGTTACAGTGCACAGTGTATGAGTGTCTGGTAGCCTCAGTACGATATGTTTTACTTGTTCTCTCTCTCTCTCTCTCTCTCTCTCTCTCTCTCTCTCTCTCTCTTACTCTCGTGTATGTAGCAAATACGAAATTCCCGCACCATCTAAATGGGTTGGTTGGGGGAGGAGAGGGAGTGGTGGAGGGGGAGTAGGGGGGGAGGGAGGAGGGGGAGGGGGAGTTGGGGGAAGGAGGACAGGTCACGGTTACTTTCCTCATTTGCATCACTGAGTCATGCTGGAAGTATACGTTATTGAGGCGTCAGTGACGGGATGACGTTGATGGCGATATTGATGAGGTGACACTGATGGGGGATGTCAGTGATAGAGGAAACGTTGATTCAGCAAAGAAGGTATTAACTAACCGAAGGGGGATACTGACTCGTCCCAAGGGGGGATAATGACTCGTCATAGAGGGGGGGGGGATACTGACTCGTCACAGGGAGGATTCTGACTCGTCACAGGGGGATATTGACTCGTCACAGATGGGGAATACTGACTTGTCACAGGGGGATACTGACTCGTCACAGGGAGGATTCTGACTCGTCACAGGGGGATATTGACTCGTCACAGATGGGGAATACTGACTCGTCACAAGGGGATACTGACTCGTCAAAAGAAAGGCGCTGGTTCAACGGTAACAGGAGGATAAGGAGGAGTAAGGGGCCGTAACACACAGTAAACGCACATACACACCACACCCAAACCCACACACCCACGCCCACGCACCCAAGCCCACACACCCACGCCCACACACCCACGCCCACACACACACGAACTGGACGCCATACACTAGGTGAACCCTCTGGGCAGCAATACGCGAGATCGCACTAAATATAACAATATTATATATAACGTTACACGAGTCCAACATTGTTTTCTGGGTATAACTGTTGTGGAGCCAGCACTGCGTAAGGAAGGTACGGGGCTAGGGGCTGACTGCAGTAAACATGAGTCGGCATCGCTGGCTGAAAGACACTGTAAGTGATTGGCCTTATGGTTGTTTGATGGGTGTGGAGGGATGGGCGATGGGGAAGTGCTGTCACCACTGGTGGAGCTGGTGGTGGTGGTTGTGGTGGTGGTGGTGGTGGTGGTGGCGGTGGTGGTGGTGGGGCAAGTGGAACAGAGGGCTGGAAGGGGCTGGTGTTCTGGCACCTCCTTGACGTATCCCAGCACCTGGTGAGGAGGGCAGGTGTGGTAGCAGCAGGAGTCAGGACCGTAGGATGAATCCTGCTCCTCCAGCTCCCTAATCTTCGGGTCTGAAAGAGGTCAAAGCTGAATTAGTCTTCCCGCAGGTCACCTCAGATGTAAGCAGTCACTGTAACACCTAAAAATCTTCCTGGTTCTGTCATTCAGGATCTGCTCGATGCACCAAGTGCATATATAAAATTTACAGAGATTACTTACAATAAGATAATTCACAAAACTGATAAATGGTCTATTGTAACCCATGAAAGACCTTAGAACAATAGAATTGGTCTCTGTTTCTTAAGATACTGATAAAACTGATTCAACATCAGAAGCAAAATAAAGAACTGAACCAGTGCAGACAAATGATTTTTATAATGTACTGACAGAATGTCTTCAGATCCAAGTTCTCCTTCTGTTTCTTAAGACAGATTATTAATTCTAATTGAGAGCAACCTCATCATTTTTACCATCTAACATTACCCTCTTGTTGACACCTTGAGTTTCCCCTCATCATTTTCTCTTCTCGGTCAGTGAGGCCAGTATGAGGCTCAGTCAGTGAGGACAGTTATCAGTGAGGCCAGTATGAGGCTCAGTCAGTGAGGACAGTTATCAGTGAGGCCAGTATGAGGCTCAGTCAGTGAGGACAGTTATCAGTGAGGCCAGTATGAGGCTCAGTCAGTGAGGACAGTTATCAGTGAGGCCAGTATGAGGCTCAGTCAGTGAGGACAGTCATCAGTGAGGCCAGTATGAGGCTCAGTCAGTGAGGACAGTTATCAGTGAGGCCAGTATGAGCCTCAGTCAGTGAGGACAGTTATCAGTGAGGCCAGCATGAACCCCAGTCAGTGAGGCCAGTCATCAGTGAGGCCAGCATGAACCCCAGTCAGTGAGGCCAGTCATCAGTGAGGCCAGCATGAGGCTCAGTCAGTGAGGCCAGTCATCAGTGAGGCCAGCATGAGGCTCAGTCAGTGAGGCCAGTCATCAGTGAGGCCAGCATGAGGCTCAGTCAGTGAAGCCAGTGATCAGTGAGGCCAGCATGAACCCCAGTCAGTGAGGACAGTCATCAGTGAGGCCAGCATGAGGCTCAGTCAGTGAGGCCAGTCATCAGTGAGGCCAGCATGAGGCTCAGTCAGTGAGGCCAGTCATCAGTGAGGCCAGCATGAGGCTCAGTCAGTGAGGCCAGTCATCAGTGAGGCCAGCATGAACCCCAGTCAGTGAGGACAGTCATCAGTGAGGCCAGCATGAGGCTCAGTCAGTGAGGCCAGTCATCAGTGAGGCCAGCATGAGGCTCAGTCAGTGAGGCCAGTCATCAATGAGGCCAGCATGAGGCTCAGTCAGTGAGGCCAGCATGAGGCTCAGTCAGTGAGGCCAGTCATCAGTGAGGCCAGCATGAGGCTCAGTCAGTGAGGCCAGTCATCAGTGAGGCCAGCATGAGGCTCAGTCAGTGAGGCCAGCATGAGGCTCAGTCAGTGAGGCCAGTCATCAGTGAGGCCAGCATGAACCCCAGTCAGTGAGGACAGTCATCAGTGAGGCCAGCATGAGGCTCAGTCAGTGAGGCCAGTCATCAGTGAGGCCAGCATGAGGCTCAGTCAGTGAGGCCAGTCATCAATGAGGCCAGCATGAGGCTCAGTCAGTGAGGCCAGCATGAGGCTCAGTCAGTGAGGCCAGTCATCAGTGAGGCCAGCATGAGGCTCAGTCAGTGAGGCCAGTCATCAGTGAGGCCAGCATGAGGCTCAGTCAGTGAGGCCAGTCATCAGTGAGGCCAGCATGAACCCCAGTCAGTGAGGCCAGTCATCAGTGAGGCCAGCATGAGGCTCAGTCAGTGAGGCCAGTCATCAGTGAGGCCAGCATGAACCCCAGTCAGTGAGGCCAGTCATCAGTGAGGCCAGCATGAGGCTCAGTCAGTGAGGCCAGTCATCAGTGAGGCCAGCATGAGGCTCAGTCAGTGAGGCCAGTCATCAGTGAGGCCAGCATGAGGCTCAGTCAGTGAGGCCAGTCATCAGTGAGGCCAGCATGAACCCCAGTCAGTGAGGCCAGTCATCAGCGAGGCTAGTATAAACTTCAACTAGTGGTTCGGACAGTGTCTCTGCTCATTCTGGCAGAATCCACCTTGACAGGTCCCGTTGTCTTTGTTGTATCCAGCTCCGTCAAATGTTTTTCACCTCTTTCTGTATTGTGTGTCTGTTGTCCAGTACCCGTTGGTGTACACTGCTGGACTCTAATGTTGCAGTGTTACCCATTTCTTCAATGAGAACGCCTGTTTGAGAGAGAGAGAGAGAGAGAGAGAGAGAGAGAGAGAGAGAGAGAGAGAGAGAGAGAGAGAGAGAGAGAGAAGAGAGAGAGAGAGAGAGAGAGAGAGAGAGAGTAAATATCAGGGGTGTATAGAAGAGGCATGATAAAGGTGATAAGTCAGGTTCTCTACTCCTCTCCCCCCTTCTATTCCTTCTATCCTTCCTCCCTCTCTATCCTCCTCTTATCTCTCCTCCCTCCCTATCCTCCTCCTATCTCTCCTCCCTCCTTCTACCAATTTTATACTTCCTCCCCTCCTGTTCCTCATCCCCTTCCCTTTCTATCTCTCCTCGCCCCTCATCTATCTCTCCTTCCATCCTTCGTCATCCTTCACAAACATTTAATAAATCTTTCTTCATTATATTCATAGTTACTGCGCAGGTGTCTACACACCTGTGTCCACGTCTACACACCTGCTACTAGTGAACAGTGGTTCCCCTCACTCTACCTGTGTCCTCGTCTACACACCTGCTACTAGTGACCGGAGGATCGATCCCCCACAACACAAGTACTTTTCAATATGATATTGGTCTAGATTTAGCAGTTGTACCTTTGAGAATCGAGCTCCAGCTACTGGTCCCGACCCTGAGCTATAATCTGCGGTTAAAGACTATATACCAATGTCTTTCATAGAATGTTATATATAATATTATATATATATATATATATATATATATATATATATATATATATATATATATATATATATATATATATTATCTTGATTTACATAGTGTAATAAGGGTATCGTTTTATAACCATGCATTAACCTACATCAACCAACAAAAACATACTTACCGTGATAATAGTGTAGATGTATCATGCCAGCTACCGTGATAATAGTGTAGATGTATCATGCCAGCTACCGTGATAATAGTGTAGATGTATCATGCCAGCTACCGTGATAATAGTGTAGATGTATCATGCCAGCTACCGTGATAATAGTGTAGATGTATCATGCCAGCTACCGTGATAATAGTGTAGATGTATCATGCCAGCTACCGTGATAATAGTGTAGATGTATCATGCCAGCTACCGTGATAATAGTGTAGATGTATCATGCCAGCTACCGTGATAATAGTGTAGATGTATCATGCCAGCTACCGTGATAATAGTGTAGATGTATCATGCCAGCTACCGTGATAATAGTGTAGATGTATCAGGCCAGCTACCGTGATAATAGTGTAGATGTATCATGCCAGCTACCGTGATAGTAGTGTAGATGTATCATGCCAGCTACCGTGATAATAGTGTAGATGTATCATGCCAGCTACCGTGATAATAGTGTAGATGTATCATGCCAGCTACCGTCATAATATTGTAGGTGTATCACGTCAGTTACCGTCATAATAAGGGGCTAGCTGCCGTGATAATAAAGTAGGAACGATATGGTAAGTGTAACATGCCAACTACCGTGACAATAATGTAAGTGTAGCAAGCCAGCTACCGTGACAATAATGTAAGGGTAGGAAGCCAGCTACCGTGACAATAATGTAAGGGTAGGAAGCCAGCTACCGTGACAATAATGTAAGGGTAGCAAGCCAGCTACCGTGACAATAATGTAAGGGTAGGAAGCCAGCTACCGTGACAATAATGTAAGTGTAGCAAGCCAGCTACCGTGGCAATAATGTAAGCGTAGCAAGCCAGCTACCGTGGCAATAATGTAAGCGTAGCAAGCCAGCTACCGTGACAATAATGTAAGCGTAGCAAGCCAGCTACCGTGGCAATAATGTAAGGGTAGCAAGCCAGCTACCGTGACAATAATGTAAGCGTAGCAAGCCAGCTACCGTGACAATAATGTAAGCGTAGCCAGCCAGCTACCGTGGCAATAATGTAAGCGTAGCAAGCCAGCTACCGTGACAATAATGTAAGGGTAGCAAGCCAGCTACCGTGACAATAATGTAAGCGTAGCAAGCCAGCTACCGTGACAATAATGTAAGGGTAGGAAGCCAGCTACCGTGACAATAATGCAAGGGTAGCAAGCTAGCTACCGTGACAATAATGTAAGGGTAGCAAGCCAGTTACCGTGACAATAATGTAAGGGTAACAAGCCAGCTACCGTGACAATAATATAAGGGTAACAAGCCAGCTACCGTGACAATAATGTAAGGGTAACAAGCCAGCTACCGTGACAATAATGTAAGGGTAACAAGCCAGCTACCGTGACAATAATACAAGTGTAACAAGCCAGCTACCGTGACAATAATGTAAGGTAACAAGCCAGCTACCGTGACAATAATGTAAGTGTAGCAAGCCAGTTACCGTGACAATAATACAAGTGTAACAAGCCAGCTACCGTGACAATAATGTAAGTGTAGCAAGCTAGCTACCGTGACAATAATACAAGTGTAACAAACCACCTACCGTGACAATAATGTAAGTGTAGCAAGTCAGTTACCGTGACAATAATACAAGTGTAACAAGCCAGCTACCGTGGCAATAATGTAAGGGTAGCAACCAGCTACCGTGACAATAATGTAAGTGTAACAAGCCAGCTACCGTGACAATAATGTAAGGGTAGCAAGCCAGCTACCATGACAATAATGTAAGGGTAACAAGCCAGCTACCGTGACAATAATGTAAGGGTAGCAAGCCAGCTACCGTGACAATAATGTAAGTGCAACAAGCCAGCTACCGTGACAATAATATAAGTGTAACATGCCAGCTACCGTGACAATAATGTAAGGGTAGCAACCAGCTACCTTGACAATAATGTAAGTGTAACAAGCCAGCTACCGTGACAATAATGTAATTGTAACAAGCCAGCTACCGTGACAATAAGGTAAGTGTAACAAACCAGCTACCGTGACAATAAGGAAAGTGTAACAAGCGAGCTACCGTGACAATAAGATGTGTGTAACAAGCCAGCTACTGTGACAATGAGGTAAGTGTAACATGCTAGGTACCGTGACAGTAAGGAACGTGTAACAAGCTAGGTGCCGTGACAATAAGTTAAGTATAACAAGCCAGCTACCGTGACAGTAAGTTATGTATAACAAGCTAGGCACCGTGACAATAAGGTAAGTGTAACAAGCCAGGTACCGTGAGAATAAGATAAACAAGTGAATCATGCTAGAGAGAGTTGAATGGTGTTTGAGTTACCCTGACACAGGAAGGTAGGTTCCCCGGCCACAGGCTTGGCCTTCGGGAGGAAGTAAGGGCACTTCTGCTCTACCTCGTGGCAGAAACGTCGGCAAGGTTTAACCCTAGTGCCGTCGACGTAGTAAGGGAAGAGCTGCGAACACACCCAGTAGCGGTACGCCTCCTGTAGGAGAAGATATCGTGGTATGAGAGGGTGTGAGATGGGGTACTCCTGGAGAAGATATCGCGGTATGAGAGGGTGTGAGATGGTACGGTACTCCTGGAGAAGATATCGTGGGATGAGAGGGTGTGAGATGGGGTACTTCTGGAGAAGATATCGTGGGATGAGACGGAGTGAGATGGGGTACTCCTGGAGAAGATATCGTGGGATGAGAGGGAGTGAGATGGGGTACTCCTGGAGAAGATATCGTGGTATGAGAGGGTGTGAGATGGGGTACTCCTGGAGAAGATATCGTGGGATGAGAGGGTGTGAGATGGGGTACTTCTGGAGAAGATATCGTGGGATGAGACGGAGTGAGATGGGGTACTCCTGGAGAAGATATCGTGGGATGAGAGGGTGTGAGATGGGGTACTCCTGGAGAAGATATCGTGGGATGAGAGGGTGTGAGATGGGGTACTCCTGGAGAAGATATCGTGGGATGAGAGGGAGTGAGATGGGGTACTCCTGGAGAAGATATCGTGGGATAAGAGGGTGTGAGATGGGGTACTCCTGGAGAAGATATCGTTTGATAAGAGGGAGTGAGATGGGGTACTCCTGGAGAAGATATCGTGGGATGAGAGGGAGTGAGATGGGGTACTCCTGGAGAAGATATCGTGGGATGAGAGGGAGTGAGATGGAGTACTCCTGGAGAAGATATCGTGGGATAAGAGGGAGTGAGATGGGGTACTCCTGGAGAAGATATCGTGGGATAAGAGGGAGTGAGATGGGGTACTCCTGGAGAAGATATCGTGGGATGAGAGGGAGTGAGATGGGGTACTCCTGGAGAAGATATCGTGGGATAAGAGGGAGTGAGATGGGGTACTCCTGGAGAAGATATCGTGGGATGAGACGGAGTGAGATGGGGTACTCCTGGAGAATATATCGTGGGATAAGAGGGAGTGAGATGGGGTACTCCTGGAGAAGATATCGTGGGATAAGAGGGAGTGAGATGGGGTACTCCTGGAGAAGATATCGTGGGATAAGAGGGAGTGAGATGGGGTACTCCTGGAGAAGATATCGTGGGATAAGAGGGTGTGAGATGGGGTACTCCTGGAGAAGATATCGTGGGATAAGAGGGTGTGAGATGGGGTACTCCTGGAGAAGATATCGTGGGATAAGAGGGAGGTTAAGTCAACATAGATCTACTTCCAGTTGTGGTGTCTCCAATACTGTACTAGAGAGACAGACAAGGTTATAACACGAAACTGTAGATGGTTCGGTCCTTCTTGGACAGACCGAAGCCTCGTCTAGAGTTCCCTCTGGAAAATGTTATTTGTGAAAGGTACCAGCCACGGTATCGTGAGTTGTATCCATCAACTTTTTCTGATGCAACACCAGAAATTAACTGGATCGAAATCACACAAGACCATGTGTGGCATGCAAAGAGTACGTAACCTTTATTCGGCGCATGGACACACCCTCATTTACAGGCTATCTCCCCCAACCAGCGAACCAGGTTGCTAAGAGTTGATGATGGGGCCCCATCGTTCAACTAGTGACCAGGTTCTAGCCAATAAGAAGGTGGGATTGACAATCGCAGAGGTTATGTGGATACCGCTCTCCTGTCTGCCCTTGTCATTCCCACTCTAGAGCTGGTTGAAGCACGGTCTGCTATCTTGTGGCTTCTATTTCTGCCTTGCTTACCGTGGAGTGCACTATATTTATCACTGTACATAGTGTACATATTGCTGTTATAATTGGTGAAGGATAATATAAGTCTAAACTTTTTCTACTGTGTTTATTTGCTCCCATTACACCTGGGATAACAGGCCATTTGAAATCCTAGGTTGTAATATGGGTAGCCTGTCCGAGAGCTGGACTTAGAGAAACGGTTGAGCTTAGGGTGAAGCTTGTAGCAGGATCATTGTGTAGCTTGCTGTTTCGCTTCGCTTTAAAAATTTTGCGTGTCAGTCGCTTATGATCAGCCTTGCTATTGTGTGATCGTTCAACAGCTCGCTACTAGCTTGTTCAGTGTGCTCGCTTCGCTACGGTCAATCTTGTGTGCAGTCGGCTTTGCTTGTATGCGTATTCTGCAATCGTACTGTGCATAGCTAAGCGTGTTCTGCAAATTAACGTGTTACGTTGGGGTATTCGTACTGTGCATAGCGAATAACTTATGCCACCTAGACGAGTCAGACGCCTGGTGTCGGCATATACTTTGCATAACCTACCTAAATTGTCCCTACAGCGTTGTTGGCAAATTGCTCGTTCCATTGGCATTCCCTATAAACGCACTCTCACAGCTGCGCAACTGCGTTCACTTATTGCTGACATACTTATTGAAAAAGAAGCCCTCGCGCTGGTAATGGCTTTGGAGCATTTCGATGTTTATGTGGGCCAAACATCGCAGGTGGTCACAGTCTACAGTGATCACAACCCGTTAGTCTATCTCCAAGCCATGAAGAATCACAACACAAGGCTTATGCGTTGGACTCTCAGGCTGCAGCCCTACAATATTTTTATTAAATATATTGCCGGCAAAGAAAATGTGTTGGCAGACTCTTTGTCAAGAGTCTAGTTTAATATTTTATTTAGGTTAGGATGTATTTGTGGTAACCCCCCTTTCAAGCTCTTTTTTTTATCCCCTGATGTGGGGGTTTTTTTTAGTGAGGGGATACGGGCTACCGTCCGCTTGTATCTTGGACCTATGTTGGCTTATCTGACTGCTGTCTCACTCTGAGTTTAGGGTTTGGCTTTCAGGCACTAGGAAAGCTGAGCTCTATCTAAGAGTTGGATGGTGGAGAGGATAGGCGGTCCCATTATTTTGTGCCATGGCGGCACGGTTACCACTGGGAGGTGGCAGCCTAATCCTGAGCCTTCTCGGGGGTGGGGGTGTGGCATGCAAAGAGTACGTAACCTTTATTCGGCGCATGGACACACCCTCATTTACAGGCTATCTCCCCCAACCAGCGAACCAGGTTGCTAAGAGTTGATGATGGGGCCCCATCGTTCAACTAGTGACCAGGTTCTAGCCAATAAGAAGGTGGGATTGACAATCGCAGAGGTTATGTGGATACCGCTCTCCTGTCTGCCCTTGTCATTCCCACTCTAGAGCTGGTTGAAGCACGGTCTGCTATCTTGTGGCTTCTATTTCTGCCTTGCTTACCGTGGAGTGCACTATATTTATCACTGTACATAGTGTACATATTGCTGTTATAATTGGTGAAGGATAATATAAGTCTAAACTTTTTCTACTGTGTTTATTTGCTCCCATTACACCTGGGATAACAGGCCATTTGAAATCCTAGGTTGTAATACCATGTTAAGAGGGTGAGCCATCCAGGATAACCCAAGAAAGTCAGTGGGTCATCGAAGGACTGTTTTATTTCCAGTGTGGTCTTCAATCCTGTCTTCCCCCAGGATGCCACCCACACCAGTCGGCTAACACTTAGGCACCTACTTGCTTACTAGGTGAACATGGACAGCAGGTGTAAGGAAACAATCCCAAAGTTTCCACTCTTGCTGGAGATCGAACTACGGATACTCAGCGTGTGAAGCGAGAGCGTTGTCTTCCAGGCCACGGACCTAATTTGACCTAATTTCCCCGAAATGATTATTATTATTATTATTAATTATCACAAAGAGGAATCACTGCTAAGAACAGTGATGCTGTGTACACTCGCCAGAGGAAGCTGCATCTGGATGCGAAATTTTAGTACAGAAGTGATTGTTTTATGTGATGGTAGGATTGCTGTTGTCCCTTTTTCTGTCTCATAAACATGTAAGATTTCAGGTACATCTTGCTACTTCTACTTACACTTAGGTCACACTACACATACATGTACAAGCATATATATATACACACCCCTCTGAGTTTTCTTCTATTTTCTTTCTAGTTCTTGTTCTTGTTTATTTCCTCTTATTTCCATGGGGAAGTGGAACAGAATTCTTCCTCTGTAAGCCATGCGTGTTGTAAGAGGCGACTAAAATGCCGGGAGCAAGGGGCTAGTAACCCCTTCTCCTGTATATATTACTAAATTTAAAAGGAGAAACTTTCGTTTGTCTTTTTGGGCCACCCCGCCTCGGTGGGATACTGCCGGTGCGTTGAAAGAAAGAAAGAACACGCGAAGAGAACGTGACTTAAACAGGATGTAAACATGACCAAGACGATGGCCACTTAGTTTCAGTCCCGAGAAGTGCAAAGTAATGAAAAGAGGAGGGGAAGCGAGAAGACCGGACAAGGAGTATGACCCGGGAGGAGAGATGCTGCAGACAACATGCAAGGAGAAAGATCTGGGAGTGAGCATTTCACACCAACCACATCGCCAGAATTTCATCTGAAGCAGGTTGCTTCAGTGGCTTAGGTTACACCACCTAACATAATTACTGCTTTCAGTAACCTGAAGAAACACTGATTAAAAACGCTTCGCCGGGAGAAACATCGTAAAATACCGACACCATGGAATAGAACCCACAAAGTGGGTTTTATCAGGTCAAAATCGAGTCAGATCTCTTTGTGACTTAATAAAGCTCACTGTGTGGGCGAAACTTGGCTGCTATTGTCTCTCTTTTTCTAAGAACACATTTCTCACCACGTACGATAGTCCCATCCTGGAGGACGCAGCTCCAGCACGGAGCCCACACTCCCAAGATTCTACACTGGTAGAGAAACCGAGGGCTATAAATCACTAGAAGAGGGGATAGGGGGAGAGACTTGTTCACAACATACAAAATACTTGGAAAATTAGAGTAAATAGGGGCATGTTGATTTCTAAGATAGGAGAGAGATATGGCACCTGGTACGTACATAAGAGCATAGATAAGCCGTATCAGGTACCAG